CCTTCTGCCCATGAGGGTGGGAGCGAGGCACAATAGGGTATGTTGAGATGGGGTGCATATGTGTGGATGCCTCACTCCCACCCTCACAGGTAGAAGGGCTGGGCAGGGTACAATTCATTGGTGGGTGCCCACAGGCTGGACGAAAATGCCTGGTGGGCCAGATTCGGCTCATGGGCCATATTTTGCCTACCCTTGATTTACTTCCTCTGGCTACTGCTGGGCATTAAAATAAACTACTGTACCTTTGAAACTTTTTTATATCCAACGTTTTGACTTGTGTAGTCATGTGCTACTGCTTAATCTTCCTAGAGCTGCTGTTAGAGAAACCTGACAATTATGGAATGATGCTACTAGCAAGTGGCTCCTATATTTTACCACTCTAGCATCACAAAATGAGGTGGATTTCTAGGACATGTGTCATATCTGTCTTTTCTATACATTTAGTGAATAAAACACTGGCTTCTTTTTAGATTAAAGTCAATACATATTTCAAAAAATGAATCCAAGCCAACTAGAATATAGCATATATCAAAGCAGTTATAAAAAGGGCTCTTCAATTCAATTTCTTATACCCATGTTAATGTAGTCATATTTTCATGTGAAGTAGGTGAAATTTAAATATTGCTTGAATTTTATATAGAAAAATATAAAAAATAAGAGAACTTACAGAAAATATCTTACTCATTTTATGGTTTATGTTTATTTATTTTAGAGTAAGAAAACATATTTTTAGGTTTTGTGACTTTTACTTAATTGACACATTGTTAAGCCATCTTAAGTTTAGTGATTATATACATAAAACTATACTAGACCAAAACACATAAACAGTAATAGAGAAATGTATTTACTGTGTCTGTCTTCTGAAACTGTACATTTATGGTCCCTCTTTTTCTGGCTTTTTTCTTGCTTTGTAAAGTTGAAAACAACCATGTTATAAGTTCTAAAGGTCAGGCAAAGCTTGAGAATATTGGGTAGTTTCTGAAAACTGTCATAACTTCCTTTATGGTATGTATTTGTTCTTACTGCAGATCTAATGCATTTGAAGTGCTGGCACTCGATGGAGTTAGTACTGGGATACTTCAGTTTTATACAGCCCAGGAGAGTGTTGACTGGCTGAGAGCAATATCAACTAACATCAGTGATTTGACACTTCAAAATGTATGTTACTTTATGCATATTTTCCTGCCTTCTTTAAAAAATATATTTTTTTAAAGTTTTTGACTGCAGTATATAACTAACACAGAGATACAATGTGTAAAAGTAGTGCATGGGAAAGAAGGAGAAGGAAATTCTAATAATTTAACATTTTTCCTAGAGCCACAAAGAAAATACAGACTTTTGATGGGACAGAGAATAACAGAATCTCCTGTTTATTTCATTATATTTAAAACTTTTGTAAGATCAATTAACGGGAGTTTTCCCATTCACCTCACTGAACTTTGAGGCCAGAATTTAGTCTTTAAAATTCTTATTAAAATATGATTGAAACACAGTGTCAAAACTGTTTTTGACATTTGTTTTTGGAGTGTGAAAGGAGGAATTTGTATCTCTGTAGGATTGGTTGTGCTACATAGGATTGGTTGACATGCAGTCTCTCTACTCTTATAAATACTTAAGAAGGTGTAGCATGACCTTTTAGCAGTTCTACCAAAAAATGTTTATATTGTTATAAATTATTCCTGTAAATGTAAAAGTGAATTTTTGTTTGTTGCAAATGCAGGCATAAAATAATCCCTGGAAGAACAGGAAGTTATTACTTGAACAATAGGTTATGTACTATAAAATACAGATGGAAAGTAATGAAAATACTGAAATAAAAACTTATAAGGTGAAATAGGCAACTTGCTAAAATACAGGATTGCAAATGTATTGCAGTTTTTATGAACCGGAAGAAATGAATGAGGAAAAATATGCAGGCTCAATGTCCCCTTGAAGAATTACCCATGCAGTTTTTTAATCTTTTCTCTGTTCCATGTAGATGTGTTTTCAATCCTCAGTATGTTATGTAAATCATGATTTTACCAATATGTAATCCTATATTGTATTTCGCTCTCCAGATGAATAATTCTTTAGTTTTAAACGTGTATCTTTTTTTATAAGTTTAAATATGCAATGTTATTTAAACTAAACTTTAACTATTACAAGAATTAGCACTGAGCAAAACTATTCATTATCAAGATTTATTAATCATAGTGAGGCAGCATCTTGAGGTCCTAGTCAGGAATTTTGCCTACATTGAATAGCGTTATTCATATGGGAATTAAGAGAGAGAATCTGTATCCAAAAGAGTTTATAAACAACAGTTGGCATGGGCTAAAAAACACGTTGAGAGGCAGGTGATGTAACACATGAAAGAGCTAGGATTTTGACAATAAGTCCAAATTATTTGACTAACCTTGTTCTTAACCAAAGTCGTCACAAAGAATTGCAGGTGTCTATACACAAACTCCGGGGTGGGGCGGAGGGAGTGTTTTAATTAGAGTGGTGCTAATTAAACACTTCAGCATTGCATGTATTTAGTGTCCTGCATTTCAAAATGGTGATAGGGGCACTTTAAACCTTGTTCACTGAGTTTTATTTAAAGTGTCCCCACTGCCATTTTGAAACATGGGGCACTACGTACAGTGAGGCATGTTGGAGCCTTCTAATGGGTCCATCATTTCAGATTGAGTCGTCTTTGACATGTTCTAATTAGAATTCATTGGAGCAAGTGTAGAGGCACCCATTTTTTTTTCATATTCCACTTTGATAGATGTTTTTGAAAAACAATTAAGCCTAACATTGACCTTGCAACAGGAAGCCAGGGGCTCATGTTACTTTCAGAGGAGAAAGCACCAGGTTAGTGTGTTCTGGGGCAGACAGCTGAATTAGGGTCATCTGCATTTTAGATAAATAGGTAGTAGAAAGCTCACAGAAGCAAGGACCCAAGGCCTCGAGGCATGGGACTGCTAGATAACTATGGAGGACTGCAGAGCAGAGGAGTCCAGTCAACTTGTTAGGCTGAACAGAAACTCCTGGGTTCCTTTTCAAGGTAGCAGTCAGGGGACCAGAAGGGGCAAGGTGTGGCTATGTATAAGCCCAACCTCTCGGCTGGGGCTGGCAGCCTGTGCCTGCAGGCTGCAAGGGATCAAGCTGAGGACAGAGTTGGCTGCCAGGGAAAAGGAGGTACCCTATGAGCTGGCAAATCAAGTCAGGTCCTTATGGGAGGAACATGGCAACTCTTATAGCCCTGAGGAGGTTGAATTGGTTGCAGCCAGATTGCTAACACCTGGTTCCAGGTACTTTTTCTGTGTTTCAATTTAAACACTAGAGGAATGGGGGTAAGGTGGAGGTCACAGGGATGCCTATGGGGCACCCAGCATAGAGTCCTATAAGGGTCAGGGACCCCAGGGTGGTATAAAGCAAGAGCAGGCTTGCCAGGGTTGAGCTATGGCCCAGGATCTCACCGTTTATGGTAATGGTCTTTGGGCTGAGGGGACTCCGCCAGAGAAAAGGGGCAAAAGCCAAGAAGTCTGAAGCTTGTACAAGGTCTTTGGGTTCTTAGGGGTTCAGTGTCAATATGGGGTGAGGAGGCCCCCTCCAAGTGGCAAATGAGCCACATTTACAAGGAATGGGTATGGCTATGGGGGCAGTTGGAGCCCATGTTTATACTAAGTCACAACTAGGGTCATCTTAAAAGGAAATTGCACCCCATAAAGTTTGAATCAGAAGAGCCCCAGTGATTGGGGTTTGGAGGCAGAGGAGGTCTAAGGGCTAGACAAGGAATAAAGACACTATGGGAAGAGGCTGCTTTGATTACCCTCCCCTCCCATACGTGTTTTTTCTGCAAGTAAAATAAAACACCACTATATAAAGAATTTGGGATTTTTAAATAGAGAAAAACAGGATCCCTGGTCATCATAGTCAGTCTCAAACAAAATAGTGTATATGTTGGTTACTTTTATGCCAATGTCTTTTCTTTGGAAAATTTGTGCTCAAATGATTTCAACAGTTTGTTTCAGATCTGCAATCTGAGGCATAATTCACAAACCTGGTCTCACTGTAATTTCAGTAGGCACTGCTATTTCTGGGTCTACCTTTCTGATCAGAGGCCAAAGACTTTACAAGTAATATATTGACAAAGCATTTAAAAAAAATCACATAACTGGGAGGCACTTTGTGAGGTCATCTAATTTATCCTTACTGTAATGAGGCAGGAACAAGTATACCTCAACCATTACTGACAGATATTTGTCTTAAAAACCTGCAGACGGAGATGCCAGGAGTTAGCTTGATCTACTGCTTCACTACCATTACAGTTAAAAAGGTTTCTCTTTTATTATCTTTTCTAGAGAATCTATTATCATTCTTGTTGCTTTCCTTGGAGTCATTCCAATATGCCCGTATCTGTCTTTCCCAGTCTTCCAGGAATTCTTAAAGACAATTGCTAATAGTTCAGAGATTGTTTCAATGAGTTCCTTACCTGCTCAAAAGTGAATTTAATTGGTCCCTGCCACTTTGAATATATTGAAAAATTCTTTGCCTGTTCACTTCCTCTTCTGGTCCATTTGCTCTTACCCCCTTTTCAGATAATGTGGTCAAATACCTGGTCACATTTAGCCTTATTAATGAAGACTAAAGCAAATAAGTTCTTGAATATCACAGCCTTCTCTACTTCATCTTTTGTTTCCTGTCCTTCCCTTTTTTTTTCATTCTCCTTGTAATATATGTATAGGAATGTAATGGATGCCCTATCCCCTTAAGGAAAGACAGCTAGTTAGACTGAAGGGCTGCAAAGGGTTGAGGGGAGGCTAAGGAGGGCATGGTTGCCTGGAAATTAAAACCACCCAGCAGGCAGAACCAGGGGGTGGAGTGGAGGAAAAGCACCAGAAGCAGGAAACTTCTTTAGCAAGGCAAATCTGGGAAGGAAGACTGAAGCTACAGTGGATCCATCTCAGGGGCTGGGACAATAAAGCTTCTGTTTGGTGAAGGACTGTCTAC